TAGTTATTTTTAATATTATATTATTTACTTATTCCTAGATAAATCCTTAATAGTATTATTAACTATAAGTACCTAGATTAATTAACTAATAAAAGGAGCCTATTATCTACTATTTTATAAAAATACTTATATTTAATAAGCTATTTACTTACTATATAATAATTATTAGCTAAGGGTATTTTATTATACCTTAATAACCTAATTTATAGGCTATATCTTTCCTTAGTATTATACTTAAAGTAATAGTTAATAAGGTACTTTTTTATCTCTTTTTAGTTATAACTATATATAAGGCACTTTATTTCCTTTATAATATATTATATAATAACTTTTAATAGTTCCTTAACTTAATAGGTATTTAAGATACTTTAAATATTAAGCTAGTTATCTAGTCTTTATAAGAAATTAGTAGTATTATTTTTATTAAATTTATCCTTAAAGGCTATCTTTAGTTAAAAGTTAGTTTAGATTAGTATTATAAGAAGATCCTTTTTATTAGTAGTCTTAAGGAAGTTTAAATTTAAGCTAATAAAATCCTTATTAACTAACTTTAGTTATTAGCCTTTACTTACTATAATTAGTCTAGCTTATTTTCTCTTTTTAAAAGTATATTACTTTTTTCTAGTCTCTTAACCTTCTCCTTCTCTCTTAAGGAGTTTAGGTTCTTTAGTTATATTAGTTAAGTTATTATTAAAGGTAGTAATATCCCTTATTATAATAAATAACTTTCCTTTATATATCTTTTATATTCTTATATTACTAAATAATATAAGTATTATTATAATTAAGGGTTAATAGTTTTATTAAGACTTTAATAGTTAAAATAAAAGTAATATTTCTTTAAGTAGTTTTAGTAACTTTAGTTAGTTATATTTTACTAAAAGGATTATAAGAGTAAATAATAACCTTATTTTTTATTTTTATAATTACTAGCCTCTTAATCTATAGTTTTTTAATATTACTTAGGTTAATAATACCTTAATCCTTACTTATCTATCTTATCTTAATATAATATACTCTATTATTATAACTTATTATAGGCTATTTACCTAATATCTTAATATTATAGGTTAATATAACTAAGCCTTATTATAGTTATAATTATAAGTATTTAAAGTAATATATTTAGGTTCTTAAGATAAGGGTAGTTTATTATAAGATATTATCTTTATATTAGTTACTTTATATTTTATTATAAAAGCTAGGCTTTTATAGTTTACTTACCTTATAATCCCTAATATACTTCTAGTTTCTTTATAAAAAAATACCTTAGTCCTTTTCTAGTCTTTACTTATTAATTTACCTTATTTCCTAATTCCTAATAAATCTATAGGTTAATAACTTAATACTCTAGTACTAGTAGATAATTTAGGTATAACTTACTTATAATACTTTTAACTAGTATATAAGGATTATACTAGCTTAAGGTAAGAGAAGTACTTTTAGTACTAAGGTAGTCTTTTATCCTCTTATATTTTACTATAAAGTAATTTAACCCTTTATAATTATTAATATCTTAATTATAGATATCTTAGTTCCTTTATAAATACTACTTTAATTTTTACTTAGCCTTATATTTCCTAGATTATAGCTTATTTCCTAGACTAAAATCTCTTATAGGTTATTAGCCTATTTTTCTTTTAATCTATATTTTAGTTTAGTAATAAAACTTTCTTAAGATTATCTAATTAAATTAATTAGATAAGCTTAAGATAAACTATCTTTAGATTCTTCTTCTTATTAAGCTTTTTAGCTTCCTTAATAGGTTCTAAGTTTTTATTATAGTAGTTTACTAGTATTTTTACTTATAATTAAGAGTATCTTAATTATTAGTTAAGGTTTCTC